TCGGTCGTCGTCTCTCTCTCTCTCTCTCTCTCTCTCTCTCTCTCTCTCTCTCTCTCTCTCTCTCTCTCTCTCTCTCTCTTTTTAATTCGTTACGTCAAAAATATCGCAAAATTAAATCTCCAATCGATTCGAAATTTATAAAGAATATATCCCGCTGTATTTGCGACATATATTTTCAGCCAACAGTCAGCTATGATAAATCAATTATTGGAATATAATAGGTTAATAACCTGTGCTAGATACGTTTACAATTGCAGCCAATGTATATGCATTTATCAGCTTAATTTCGACCTATTCAAACTAAACCAAAATTAATTTGATATTAGTGATTTTGATTATTCACATGTTTAAAAATTCTTTGGTCATGCATAAATAATTTGTTTTTTGCTTGCGCATAATTGGAAAAGGACTTAGATATCGTTGTTACATTTTAAAAGTGACTAAAGAAGGAACAGTTGCAAAAATCATTTTGAATTATGGTTGAGCGAGTCGAGTCCGTCGCCGAAAAATAAAGCAAAATGAATGCAGCGACTAAATTACGCGGACAATTAAATTGAACAAATTGCACATTGGCATTGTTATGTCTCCCGTGAGCTTTATCTGTATTGCGTTTTGAATTGCTGACCAATCGGATCGAATCGATAGTACGGTTGCAGCGAGGATGGACCTCCTTCGCGAACGACCTCTTTCCTATTTTTGCTCTATCCCTCTGTTTCCCCGTTCATCCACTTTTAATGGAATCGAGCAAACGGTCACTTTTAGCGGCGGAAGATCGAAAACTGCTGCAGTCGAGAGATAGACTCGGTATTTGCTACGTACGGAATTTAACTGGCACTCGTTCCTCTGTATACAACGGAACTTTCGAAGCTTCTGATCGCTCGGAAAAACGACATTCCGCAAATGATGTCAAACCCTTTCCCGATTTAATTATGTATAATTCGCGTTTTCGATAACATCGTGGAAATCGATACTGCTGCAAAATATGTTTCATATAAACGCAGTTATTTCTCATCTCTTGTAAAATTGAAAAATAAAATTAACGTAGCTTCCCGATTTGTTATTACAGGTTACCGCTTTATTGAAATCCTCTATTACAGATACATTTAGATAAACCCCATTTCCGTGATGTGTCTGTGAAAGTTATACCGTAAGTTTCGCGAGATAAAATCGTAGCAAATTGTATAAAAAGTATCGCGGCGGACACACACGTACGCGAAAAGCGGTAAGTCGCGGCCTTGTTGTGCATGCGTGTACGTGTGTTCTATGTGTACATAGCGACCGTGGTCGACTAATGGACCTGTTACGAGCAATTCCGGTAGAACGACAATTGCGCACGGAGGTACAATACGTTCGGATAAGAGTAATTCCGAATGCACAATTCGATCAAAAATTACCCGTGCTTCGTCGGCAGAATAATATTTAGCTTAAATTACGTTCCGATCGAAGCGCGCGCGTAGTATGCGCATACGTGCGTGAAGTGCCTGCGACCTGCGTTTGCAGATTAGAGTGGCCTGCATCTGTCAACTGTAGAATCGTCGTGTCTCTTATACATATGCATTTTTGCAAGTTTAATTTTTCATCGCGAGAACGACGAGCTCGCCGCTCATTACTCGGCACCACGCAGTTTTGTTTCCGCTCCTTTCCGCTAAAAGAACCGCTTTTATCTATACAATTAGTTTATACACTCTCTTTCTCATTATAATTTTTTTTTCTGTTTGAGAAATTAGTTCATTGTTGATAAAATTTAACATAATTCGTGCTCGTATCTTCTTTCCTTCATTTATATATGAATTTTTACATCCGTATTTCTTCGTAATTGCACAAGAGTTAAATTTTGTTAAAAACTCCAATTTTGTACAAATTAAAGCATTATCTGAATGTGTAATTACGTTATTGTTTTCTTTGTGAAGAGAAAAAAAGTTATTGCTCTCTTCAAAAGAGAGGATGAAATTCTCATACGGATCAAGAACGTTCTAAAAGTATTTTCATATGTTGCGGGATATCGTATCAACGTTTACTGCGAAGAACTATTATTATTTTCCGATACATTCTTCTTTTCATGCTCGATAAAGTGTGTCACTTGACGATACGACGGACGGTCGCCGTTTTAAAAACGCTGCAATAAAATCTCACGCGAGCCACGGGATCGCGAACTCTTCGGAGCGATTGCACTTTGGATTAAAAAGTTTTTTTACTGCGTGCGATGTACTCCGACGTCGTAAAAGTGTGTCTAATGATCTAGAAAGAGGAGACGCCGATGCCATGTCGTGGCAAGTAGTAGAAGTCGAGTTTATCGCGCACCCGTAAATGTCCGTCGGGCAGACATTTTTCGGTCGTGAAACGATCGTATAAACGCCGGCATTAGCACGACTGCGCCAAGATAAACATTCTTTTAGCACTCTCGGCTAGAAAATCACATTTTATTATTATCCATTAGTCTCGCCCGCGGGACAAACGTTTTCAGCCGAGCAGATCAGGATCGATTATAAAAGATAAGATAAAAAAAAATTCGCATACATCCCCGATATATCGACATCGTCGGTAGCCCACTTTCTCGCGAGATACTTCGTTTTTCATTTCCAGCTCTCAATTCGAGGGAAACAATGCTCATAAACGACGTATCGATTTCCCCGCCGATAGAATCGACACGATCGCAAAGTTTCAAGATCAATTTAGTTTGTCGTAAATGATAGTTCTGTTCCTGCGATAGCGCATCTCTGGATATCTCTTTTCCGATGCGACGATTCTCATTTACCCATCTTTCCTTCTCTCTTCTTTCTCTGTCTTTTCTTCTCTCTCTCTCTCTCTCTCTTTCTTTCTCTCTTTCTCTCTCGGTCTTTCTCCGGAGGCCGCTCGACATCGCAGCGAAGCGCAGCGCGGGTCTGACAAAGGAGCGCGTCACATTCATCCATCTTGCACCGGTCGTCTCTTTATTCCCGAGGTTAAAAGCGTAGCAGCGGAGGCAGTTTGGACTTCCTACCGCACTAAATCCACTAATTTCGGTCACCGACTTCTGGCCCGGTGCATTCGTGTAGCCGTCGCGCCGCGCCGCGCCGCGCGATCGATGACTGGAGAGATACGCCGTTCTCGCCCGACGAGTATAAATTTCGCGAGCGCAATCAGATCGGACTTTTACGACGTTAATTCGTAGAAGGCTGCAAACGCCCGCTCGGAACCCGATACAATTATCGGGAACGTTATTCTCGGGATCTCGATTCTCTTTCCGGAAAACGCGCAAACTCATCTCACTCTAAAACTCGGAGTGTCCCGCTTTCCGGTGAGCGAGCTTCGGCCATTTTTGCATATCGAGAATTTTCCAGCTCCCGTAAGCTCGACGTTCGATGCCGTCCATCATCTTTCCTCTTATACATTATAAAATCTACGAAAGCCATTCTAAATGATGGAAAGTAGACTAATGACCCGAATTACGAGGAGACTAATTACCCGAGCAGGGCTGATGTAGAAAGAAAATATCTGCGTAACCGAGGACTGCAATTTTCCTTTGCAAATTAATGTTTTCCAACGCTGGCCGGGTGAGTGGGCGCAACCGTGAACTTTTTACTTAAAATTTAACACGAGAAACGAGAAACGTTAAAACGCGCAATTTTCATGAACGAAGGGTTCAGTTTTATATGACTTCCTGCTACTTTGCGATTCTTTATGAAACGACCACGTGATTTCCAGCGCAAATAACTGAAATAATCTTTATCTAGGTACAATTCCGCAATTTTATCTTGCTTTTATTATCGTTAGTTTGAAATAATATTTTTATTATATATAAATTTAATAATTCTTTATTGCGCTGGAAATAAAATTGATAATTTAATAAAAAATAGAGACTGCGAATGTAAATGTCTAAAATTATTTTTACACACTCATTATCAAACAAGCTTTTTGTACTGAAAACGACATTATTATGAGAAACTGCAGGCAATAAAATTTCATTTATAAAAAAATATTAATATAAATTTTACAAAAAAATTAAATTACGAATAAATAGATATCAATTAGAGAAATACTCGCAGCCTTTTTGTATTCTTTATTTTATCTTACGTTCTTTAATCAAACGGGAAAAAGAAAATGTATTTTTGCCACGAAATACGGGTTAAAGCGGATGAAGCCTCAAAATACGTCTGAAATGGCAGGCTGGCTGCATGACCACCATCGCACAGCAATCTTATTGTGAGCCGAGTCTAATCAGAGAATCCCGCGTGATCTTTTTGTTCACAGGTCCGCCGACGATTCTGGTGAAGCCACAATCGCAGCAGGTGAAGGCAGGCGGGATAGCGAGCTTTTACTGCACTGCGGAAGGAGCACCGCCGCCCCAGATACACTGGCGAAAGAACGGCAAGAGAATTTCACGTAAGTCAGCACACTTTCACTCGCTCTTTTTTCCTGTCTCTATTTTTTCGATTTTCGACTTCGAATCGTCGCTCCATTGGTTCGTTGAAAATAGTACGTTCTTTGACGCTCAACATGCCGCGCGAAATCTGTGTCTTCGGTTTCATTTCACAGGAATCGGACGCCACAGAGAAAATGAATGAAAATTTTATCGAAATTAAAAAGTTCTCTGACCTGGATTTTTCTCTCTCCGTCCCTTCGTGTGACCGCGCCGTCTCGTCAGCGCTCGTCCATGCATTTTGTCGCAAAGCATATTTTTTTTCTTTTTTTTTTTGTTTTCGTGCATTTTCTCTCCTCTAGTTGATTTTAACTACTCTTAGCTTTTCTATTCAATCTATTTTTACGTTCATTCATGAAAACCAAATAAGTTCTGCTGGACACTTTGTGAAATTTTAAAATGTCATGTCGCATCGGACTCCACTCGAAAACAGCTCGCGACGTTAGGCTCAACATTAGAATACTTCTACAAACCGAATTACAGTGACCAAGATAGTAATTCCTTGAAAATAGTTGCATGCATTGATCTATGGTCATATCCATTGCATCCGTAATATAATAGCTTTTGGAATTTGAAATTTGATTCTGTAATATTCATGAATTCATGGTTCATTTGCGTTTGACCTTTAATAAATCAGGAATAATATCTCAAATTATATTATTTTAGAAGAGTGTCTAGCAATGTTTCTGTAGTTAGTGTATGTTTTTCTATGAAAGTTTTATAATATCTTTCAAATCTCTAAACATGAATTTGGAAAGATGGGCATAATGTACAGAAAAAAATTAGTCTTAAATAAAAAAATATTTATATGCACACATATATATATATATATATATATATATATATATATATATGTAAGCAAAAATATTATCTTAAAAATTTTAGTCTTGATTTAATGAAATTTGTATTGAATTGCATATTACTTTCGCTCAAGATCGAAAATCGCTTAAGATCAAAAATCTTCTGTATAAGATTATAATATTGTTACTTATACATGAAAATATACAGTCTTGATTTAAGAATATTAATCTTGTCTTTCTGTGTAGCCCTATATGTATTCGAAAAGCGTCGTAAGTAAATTACTCACAAAAATCGAAATATTAATTTCAACGATTGAATCTAAAGCTCGTACGTTCCAGCTTCATACATTTGGGAGGACCAGCAAATCCCGATGAGATGATTCCGATGATGCGCGATGGTTTCGCATAACGTTCGCTCTGATCCACGGAATGTATGTACCCGAACGATCGCGGATCGGTCCATATTCGTCGACGACGAGTTACTAATCCGACGAGGAACACCCGACGAGATAATGGTCGGCGACCGCTTGTTCCGGACGTCAATTCGCGGTGAGCGCGGACGGACGATAACAGGGGCGAGCCGCCGGCTCTCGAAATTTATACAGACGCGCGATCCAATTCCCATTCAATATTTCTCGGGCCGCGGAATTGGATACGATAGGACACACATACCTCCCTTTTATTAGATTCCGCAACGGCGCAATTTTCGATCTTATATCGCCCGTTGTCGCCGCCGATCATTTTCGCGCGCCCCCGATCGCGCGCGGTATTTTCTCGCCTTTTGTGACAGCAGAGTTTCCTTTTCACGGCGCAGACGTCCGTCTCAATCTTCCGTCTTATGTCGACAGAATCCCAATCCCGGTACGCGGTGCACCCGTATGAAAATGGTGCTTTACTGCGGATCGAACCTGTCAAGCCGGCGCGCGACAATACCAACTACGAGTGCCTAGCTGAGAACGGAGTCGGCGATGCTGTTTCAGCCGAGGCGACGCTCACCGGTTATGAAAGTAAGTGAGATTGCTTTTATTATCATTCATTTGCACCGATCGACAAGCGAATTCCCCAATCTTCCGCAAGGGAGATGTTATTTTTTAAACGAACATTATTTCTTATACGATTAACACTCTATCTGATTACTGCCTTGAAAACAAAAAGAAATGAATTGTTACTTTATTTTGATGAATTAATTCATCTATTTTCTTGATTAAATAACAACGAATATTAATATTTTTACGAGACACAAACATGTTTTTGTACCGCGAGTACAGCTTTGAAATTTAACTAAAAATATCGGATCGTTCTGTATTATCTGTCGTCTTTTATTTCTATTTCCAAAAATTCGTACAAATTTACTGTACGTTTCTTTGAGATAAAAATCAGCGGGACCACACAGAAAAATCACAAAAAGTCCCGCAATATGCGAGGACTCGTAAAAATGTGCGACTATCGAAAAACGTGTTAGAATATTTTCATTTTACGATTGATTGAAATAAGTACACGGTGGAGATAATTGAAAACTTTGCGAGTATGAGAGCCGGTAACGTGGACATCCGCGAACAAAACGTATCTTTGCGATGTGTACGTAAGCCAGCAGAAAGACATATATCACTCAACCTTGTCGCGTAAAATTTCGCTTTTACGACAGCTCCGCATGAAAGAAAGAGAAGGAGGGCCCTTATTCTGAAACTGCATGTCCCGGCATAATTTTCGTCGGCAGGCTCGCGCTCAAAAGGACTACGTTATATGATACGGCGGAAAGTTCTAGTTTTATCCTTCTGGTGATGGTGATGGTGGTGGTGGTGCAGCACATGGTTTGTGTTTTATAACAAAGTCACTTGCCTTGGGGACAGTTTTCCCGGACAATATCGCGTAATAACTATTAGCGCTATCGAGGACGTCGCTACGTTGTTTAATATTTAAAGGAAGCTTCCGGGACTGCTGCTGCCGTTTGGTAATGTTCGAAGCTTTAAAACTTCCTATTCCGTACCTTGGAGTTTGACTGCGTCGCGCGCGGATAACGGCTTCGAAACTGTTTACCGATTTAAACCTCACTTAAACGCACTTCGACTCGACCTGGACGAATATGGCATTCGTTTGTCATTTATCCCCGAGTCAGCAATGGCCTCGAACGGTTGACGTTCACCTCACGTTACTTCTAAATTTCTCCGCCTCTTTGTAATTAAAATTTAAACTCTTTTTTCCGAAACACATGGTAAAAACACTGACGTTTACAACATTTCCCGGAAACTTTGCCCGGAGAGCAGCTGATTACATCGACATAGGCGAGGCGCGTAGGGCGAGGTAAATCTTTCTGAAATTAAACAGAAACTTTGCCCACATCTTGCCCGGACCTCTTTCTTCCTCTATTTTCTCGACTATGCGGTATTTATACGGAAGAATGGGCGGTTTAATGGCGTCCAATTCGGCGACCAGACGGCGGATGACGTAATAGGAGAAGAAAAAAACTCTACCGTACCGCGAAACCTTGCCGTTCCCCCCGAGGGAGAGAATCTCTTGAACTTTCGTGCAACGTTTTAATTGGCTTGGCCGGCTTTTTAATTCGATTCTAATTTCGCTTC